TTTTGTCATAATAGATAGATGTGACACATGAAACCGACACCTTCGACTTTGCGAGCTTCATCTAGCAAACCTTGCATAAAACTGGGCATGCATTTATCATGAAAATAGTGTTTGCATTTGTTACATTGAACCCATTCCGAGTTTTCTACCATTTTGTTTTCTTTCTTCTTGCAAATGAAACATGGTTTAATTTACTTGTTTGGTATACATTTTGTTTGGCCTATAACCTTTAAACCTTTCTTTTTCATTTCTCTCTTTTTGTCGGGCAATTTTATCATTTTCATTTTGTAGTTTTATTACCTTTCCCCTTCTTTTACTTTCTAAAATTTCATCACTTGTAAGAATTTGGTGAGAAGTTATTTTTCTTTTCGACCCAGATTTATAAGACGAGACTTGAGGTGCTGGTAGACTGAATATGTCTTCAATGCTGAAAGACAACGTGGGATTATTTACCGTTATGTTCTCTATTTCTACGGTAAGAAAGCCATTATCATCCGTGATAGCTGGGATTTCACCACGTAAGACGGAAAGTATCAGTTCTTCAGATGTTAAAATTTGTGCATCATCAGAAGTTTGATTGTGTGTACCATTATCAGATATAGTTATTGTGCCAATTGTCACATCAGACATTGTACTTGAACCTTGAACAATGGATGATAAAACCGTGGCACTTGAAATAACGGGATCATGAGTTGGAAGGACTTGTGAACTGAATCCACTGTCAGGACTGACACGCGTTGCTGGAAGGACCGGTGGAATTTCATTATGATAATAGGTGGAGAGAGTAACACTGATTAGAGTCAAGGAAACTGTACGTTCAGACATGGATTGCTCTATAGAGCTTTTGACGAGTTCTGCTGCAATTTTTCGTTTACCTGAAAGTACGAAATTACCCGGATCGACTCTACTGAAAAGTTCATGCGACTCCCGTTTTCGGAACCTGGATGCATCACTTATATATCTTTTGAGATCTTATGTCTTTGTCAATTGACTGCTAATTTTCATCCTTGTGGTTGTAGTTCGGGTATTTCGCTTTTTTTCGTGCATTTTCTTTGTTTATTTTCATGATATTAGTGGCTATGGATCGAGTATTAAAAGAAATGTTCATATACATAGCAACGAAGTTATTATTCGTGAATTTGAGCATAGAACAACATATTTTGTATCATAAATGTAAACACAAACGAAGGTAAGGTATAAAGATCTATTGTTTTTCGGCTATGTGTTAAAAATTTAGTTGTATGTCATGCAGTTATAAACTACTGTAAACTCATAGTAGACCGTCATGCATCTCAACTAATTCAGTGGATTGGTCGTTAAATCGCCAACAAACAATATGCATTATTTGTTAACTTTGTATTGGTGGGAGCATTAGAATGCTAGATATTGCATATCCGTATAAGGAAATCAGATGCGGGTCCAGGATTTTCAATGGGGGAATTAAACAACGTTAGGAGTGGGACAAGTAAAATGTCCATATACATGCATTAACCATATAGGAACCTCCAGAAGGTGGGACAACCCCCAAATACCCACCTCCTCCTCACCCACTTAAATCCGCCTCTGGAAATGTCCCGACCTGTTAAATGCAGCAGTTGGATCAAAACAATTTAATTAAGAATTATACTCACATTTTTATAATCTATCCATGAATTAAATTATGTGTTCACAATATCTTTGTATTAGAATAATCAAACTAATTAAACAAAATCTTCATATTCAACAAATTAATTGTAACACATAAGTTATAACACTGGTACAGGGTTTTGTTGACGTAATAAACTACAAATTATTAGGTGATACAGTCCATCAGCTCTCCATTTATTATTTTAATCTGAGCATACAACTTCTGCTTTAAACGTAGACACAAAAGAAAAAAAAGTGAGTTGTAGGTCATTGAAAATACTTGTTCTCGGTATAGTCCTTAGTAGTCCTTCATGCATTGTAATTCATTCAATGGATTAGTCAGTTCTCTTAGGCAACAGATGATACTCATTATGCAAACAAACAAATTATAATAGCGGGAACGTTATTATGCCAATGAATGATAGTGTAACCTACCTGATTAAATGCATTTATGTTTCAGAGGGATATGCATATTTTTTTAAGCGGTCCTCAATCATTTAGAAAAAAAGGTAAAAAAAACTAATTAATTTCAATTTCAAGATTTTGGACAAAATGAAATACGACACTGAGATTAAAAAATATTGTTCATTTATGTTCATAAGAAACAAACCAAGACCCCCCCCCCCCCCCCTCAACAACAACAACAACAAATATAAGTGAATTAAACTAAACTAGAAAAAAACGTAACTCTGAACAAATGAGAGATATCTGCGTAATCATGAACTCAGGAATAAGATTCTTCAACCAAGCATGGATTTTAATCAAGTGAAGTGGTTAGCAGAAAAATTCCAGTGTCCCATTCATCAAACTATAAAGTATTATTCTAAATAAATTGCAAGACCTAGTCCGAATGCTGAGTCAGTCAGTAGAACGTTGAAGCAAGTAGTTTAAATTCTAGCTTTCCAGTAAAAAAAAAGTATACAACAATCAAATATATTAGGATATTGAATCTAAAGATTCCTATTTCATAAAGTAAATGCTAATTGTATTAAGCTTGGTCCAAGTACATGTCACTTTTTACTGTCCTATATTTTGCAAGTACGAAAAAGACCGTACGTAAGTATATTTTTTTTTTTTTTTTTTTTTTTTTTTTTAAATTGCATCTAATTTAAAGCTTGCCATGCATTCGTTCCAAAAATAAATACTTATAGACAAGACAAAAGTTGAAAACAGTTATTGCTAACACTTTCATTATTACTCTTGGAGCTAGTGAAAATGTATTTTAATGTTTCAAGAACGCGCGTTATGATAAATAATTTGATTATCAACTATCGGCGAAGAATGTCAAAATATTCAATGTTAATCAATACGCCTAATGTTTTTTTTTTTTAGAGTTACTTGTTTTCAGGCGTTGAGAACCCTATGGCGACCCCGCACGTTTAAATGTCCCTTGTAAAGACAACGTATTTAGTGGGCGTAACATACAAATGGTCCCCTGATCTGACCCAGTCAATTGGAGAATTGAGCACGCCAACGAATGGCGTCAACATTTGTGAATTTGATTATATTTGTTGTATGACATGTTTGATATCAATTTTACATCAACAGAGATAATTTGGTTTTGTTATCTAATTTTTGGTCCTTTACTTGTTAGAACAGTCCATAAGTAAATGTATTTTTACTTTTCTGAAATTTAAGAAAATGGAAAATGCATTTAGGCGGTTGCTTAATGCATGTATGGTGTTAAATGATAACTTGAAAAGCAGAAATATAATCGGAAACTGTATACATAAAATATCACCAGAGATCACAGAGCAGAGTTAACCACGTATAAGCTCAGACATGTTACGTATATGCTTCAAGCGCATACATGTCACTTGAGATTGCACTATGGTGTCATGCTCATGTCTAACCTGACATATTGGACCTTAAATAAGTTAAATGACAACTTACATATCGGTTTTGAACAAATTTGATTTAAGCGAGGGACTTACCCACAGATACATAATCATCTTTAAAAAAACACACCTTGTAGCAGGAGTAAAATGTAAAATTGAACTGTCCATATTTAACTCACCTTGCCCACAGGGCCATGTGATGATTTTAATGATGATTTTACCTTTTTTGCATGTTTGCCGATTGTCTTGAAAATTATAATTGATAGATAGACATTTTAAATAACAAAAATGGTCAGCAAGACAAGATCTACAAATAATTCGCAATCGGAACTCGACTCCTTATTTAAGTTTTTGTTCTTTAATGCCAGATACCTGTTGGTATTTTTGCCCATTGTTGAATATGCATATAGACATACTAGGTGAACGACATAGGCTCTTAAGAGCATCGAGTTTAAGATTTAATGTTTCCTCTCTTTGCGTATAATCCCTTTGAATAAGTCATTGTCTTCGTCATTTAATATGTTGAACCAGATAATAGTTGTTTCAGACAATTTAGAAAAATGTGACCCTTAAATTGATTATTTTTCAAACGATCGGTTTTTCGAAAACATGACAATCATTATAGATTGGAACGATAATAAGTAAAATTTGGGAAATCATTTTTGTTTACGCAAAAATGATAATTTACGAAGATTATAAGTAAACATTATATCATAACATCTTGATTTCTGAACTAATAAATATTTCGAAGTCAAACTAATGTTTGGCCTTCGTTTACGTTTTCATGCATGGGTAAATATATATTACAATTAGCTTAATGTGTTAATCTTTTGTCGGAAATGAAAACCTCACATTTTGTAAATACATAAAGTTTTCATTAAATATAAATGCCGTGTGGTAATTTCAGAGGTGGGCAGTTTCAACAAAAACAGAATATAATTACCAAACAAATTGAAATCGTCTGAACAGATATGGCTCAAATGAATTATTATAAAATCTAGCTTTTCACTCGCTCCGTCTGCGCTCGTTCTTTTAAACCAAGAATTGGAACACTGGACAGATAAACTTATATCTGTTTCTCGTTTCTCGTTTTTTTATATAGTTTAGACCGTTGGTTTTCCCGTTTGAATGGTTTTACACTAGTAATTTTTGGGGCCCTTTATAACTTGCTGTTCGGTGTGAGCCAAGGCTCCGTGTTGAAGACCGTACTTTGATCTATAATGGTTTACTTTTATAAATGTTGACTTTGATAGAGAGTTGTCTCATTAACACTCATACCACATCTTCTTTCATCTAATTAGTATTAGTGTGGGATTTGCTCATTGTGTTCATGTGGCCCGGTTCATGGACATATATAGTTTTCTCGTTTGGCAATCATACCACATCTTCTTTTCTTCATATTCTAACATTTGTTATATTATCAACGACGTTTGATATCTAGATGGATATTTCTTGCTAGATATTTTGTTTTAAGAAAGTAAACATTTTAATTTGTAAATTTTATATTTAATTACACATCTCAAAAAAGACTTTGTTGTCTCATCAAATCAGAGTATTTGTCCGTCGAACGTGTCTTTTATGTACGCACAAAAAAAGTTCTAAATTAATTTCTAATGAGAATCTGCATAATTATTTTATTTCATTCTATATGTTGATGTTGACACGTGTGGGAATAGTTTTGTCATCACGTTGTTTACATTTCAAAAATGTCTTTTGAAGAAGATTTTCTTTCAGTTTTTTTATCTTTTTCCAAAAAACTACTTTGCTATGTTCAACTAAAAAGAGTAGATAGAACACCTCTCTTCAAAATTGTTTGATATAGAGACGATTAAAAAGTCTATCATTCCTGAAATTCGTCCCGGCTTCTTGTGTATCCATCTGGTACAATACGCATGCGTTTCTGTTTGGTTCGTCACTATTACTCTGCAATTGCTGTAGTTGCTGGTGGATCGTGAGTACTGTTGTTGAAAGGTTTTAATGGATATATTCCACGTCTTGACATTTTATACTTACGGAAAAAGCGTAATAATACAAAAGAAGTAACAGCTAACATGAGACATATTCCAAATACAGATAACACGATTATATACCATGCATACCGTTCTGAAAAAATCCAAGAAAAATAAATATGTACCTGTTTTTTACATCATGTTGTGACAATGAAAACTATAGAATTCTCCAACGTTTTATCGATTTGTATTCAAAACACCTGTTTTTTTTTCGAATGTACATTCAAATTAATTGTTATTTAAGAAACGTGTGATTTGCACATTGAAATATGATTCTAGAAAGACATACTTTAACTAGGCTGTTGACTGAAACATTGATTTAATTCTAGCTTATACTTAACTGGATATCTATCCTACAAATGTAGTTCAAACGTTACCATTGTTATGCCAGAGACATTTCATTTGAACTTAAAATAATCAAACAATAACTAAAATATAAACGTTAATTAGACCGCTAACTATATTCCAAATTGGTAGGACATATGTTACGGTAAATCTTTAATTTAGAGTTCAATTCGAACTTTGACAAAGCATACAACGAAAATCTTCAATTGTTAACCGTAACACAATGATAGTGATTTGACAACAGTAGTCTTGAAAAAAAATGTGCCATCTGTTTTCAATTAATCTCTGTGTAGTGGTCAGGAAGTACTATCTACGCAGAGATTGAGGCCATATGAAGGAGATCCCTGGCCTTAACTCATATTTCTGCAATTACTATCACTTTAAGTTTTAATAAAAAATATCATAATCAAACAATAAATGATTACTTTAAAAATATATATGACATATTTAAGATTTAGGCAATTGCTATTAGCCATAAGGGGAACATTTCAAACAACCCTGTAATGCAATACAATCAAATTTGAATTTGGAATAAACAGACAGACAACAAGAAAAGATGTGTCTTCTTTCATGAACAAAATGAGAATTTAACATGGAATGTAAATTAAGCAAATATTTGGAAATAGTTATTTTAACATTAAATAGTAAAGTTGGATCCTTCTGCATATTCTGACTAGCACCAATGACAAATTATGAAGATTGATGTTTGCATGTATTTTGGATAACATATTTTGGTAAGTACAATAAATTGGATTCGACCATTTTAATTATGTGCTCTTTAAAATCAACATTAAAAAAATAATAATGACAATCATTAGTAGCTTCTCGTCCCTGAAACAATGAATGTTTTTATATTTGCTTTTGAAAAAGAAAGGCGAAAGATACCAAAGGGATATTCAAACTCCAAAAGTCGAAAATAAACTGACAATGCCATGGCTAAAAAAGAAAGAAAAGCAAACAGACAAACAACAGTACAGAAAACACAAAATAGAAAACTAAAGACTGGGCAACATAAACCCCACCAAAAACGGGGGTGATCTCAGGTGCTCTGGAAGCGTAAGCAGATCCTGTTCCACATGTAAAGGTTAATGTTTTGTACAGTGTAAGTGCTTTGTAGATGCTAAATATTTGTTAATTTTATTCAATTTAAAATTATTAAGGCTAAATACAATTTTTTTGGGAGTTTTTAACCATTCTCTGTAAACACTTAAACTTTTTTGGCACACATAGTCAACGATATTTCTGAAAATGGGCTGAGATGTAGATTCTAATAGCCTAGTCAGAAAAACACATGTCAACCGATATATATATATATATATATATATATATTGGTTTGTTACCAAGGTAACAGAGGAGAGAATATTTGGTGAAGTGTTGTGGAATTATGCGGCTACATCTATCATAAAAAAACACATGAACAATTAATTTCAGACTTGTTTTTATTAAAAATCAAAATAAATTACGGGGAATCTACCTAGAAATGTGTGAAATTACTTAGCTTCTCAATTATCCATTTTTTGGTTCTGCTATTAAGTCGGTACAAAATAAAGAAATAACCGAAATATATGCATAATGCCGTCTGTATCAACGCATTCCAGGGTTATGGTTCATCAGAAGAATTAACCATCTGAAGAAAAACTGAAATAATCGTTTAAAATTGGACTTTATACAGTTCCGCCGGGGCTTCTTAAAGTTGTTAGAAATTTCAAAATGGAATGTCTCTTCTTTTTTTATTTAATATTCATGTACTGGCCTGATATTGTAATACTTTTTATACCTCAAAGTGAATTGTATGGCATGAAAAGGAAGAAATGTATGTTTAAAATTGCAAAATATGCTGTCTGCATCAATATAAGGTGCCAATTACTTCCCTTTTGTTGGTTTATTATTTAACAACAATAACATTTAGTTTTTTTGGTACTTCGGGATGGATAGTTTGACACAAAAATGAGAGCTCTATAATTCTTAGATTACTAATACGTATGTAGATAACAATAAAAAAGTGGCAATATTTCTTTTTGGAAAATATTCATGTTCTGGCCTGATATTGGAGTACTGTTTATACAACAGGAAGGAATGTATGACATGAAAGGGAGATAATTTAAGTTTAGAATTGCAAAAAAAGTTGTCGACATCAATGTATAGTGCCAATGATTTTCCTTTTGTTAGAATACTGTGTAACGGCATTAAAATGTTGTTCTTTTTGGTAACTCATGATGGATAGTTTTAAACAAATTGAGAGCTCTTTACATCTACGGTTACTAAAACTTATGTCATCAACAATAAAAAGTGCCAATATTTCTTGTTTTATATAATATGCATGTACCGAACTGGTAAATTAGTACTTTTATACCTAAAAATGTATAGTTTAACACAAATTTTTAGCTCTATAAGGCCAAGGTTACTAATACTTATGAATATAACAATAAAGTGCCAATATTTCTCTTTTGTTATAATATTCATGTATTGGCCTGATAATGGAGTAATATGTTTGATATTAAAATGAAGGAATTTAAGTTTGAAATTGTAAAATGTGTTGCTGGCATCCATTTAAGGTGCCAATATTTTCCATTTTGTTAGAATATTATGTAACTGCATTAGCGTTTTGTTCTTTTGGCACTACAGGATGGATAATTTTACATATATTGAGAGCTCTATAATTCTAATGTTACTAATACTTGTGTCTGTAACATTGAAAAGTGCCAAACAATCTTTTTTATTTCTTTTATTGTACCAAGGCCTGATATTGGAGTACGTTTTATATCTCAGGAAGGATTTTATGAAATGACAAGGAAGGAATTTAAGTTTACAACTGCAAAATTTGTTGTCAGCTGCATTATTAGGTGCCAATATTTTCAGTTTTGTTAGACTATTGTGTTACGGCATTAAGATTTTGATCGTTTGGTACATTTTGTGATAATGATGATAGCAATTTATATTTGTCTATTTCGCTGATCTTTATCGATAAATATACCTATAAAGTATACCGTTTCTAATGAGTAAAAATATTGTATTTTGACAGGTATTGCATTGGTACACACTAAAGAGATTCGGATTAAAATAGTATTTGCATGGGAGGAGATTAGAGATAAACTAAATGGTAAAATTTTATTGCAAACATTCGAACTGCAGTAATTAGACGACGTATCATTGATGTTGCTAACAAAATTGGTACTTTATGAAAAAAAAAGAGTAACTCTGAAAAATATTGTCCCTCGCACGAGATTGCACTAATAGTGCGGATTATGTGTCCTTCGTTGTACACAAAATTGCTCACGCATGCACTCCTCATTATTAGTGCAATAACCTTAGTGCAATTACTCTATCATAGTATGCCCACCCTTCTCACAAAATGAAATATTTTTTTTCTTGTTTGAACCTAAATATTCATTGCAAAAAAATTGTCTTTGACAAAATGAAGAAATCATTATTAAAATAAAAGAATATGCGATCAACCATGTAAGCAACCCATGTTTTCATGATTTTCTGTATACAAGATCCTTTTCAACATTCAAATCTCAAGAAGAATAGAACGAAGCTGCTATTATCCTTTAACATGTTTAACACCATGTTCCGCAAAACTAATGATGTCCACACACGATCTTATTCAAAGTTTGGGTCTCAATGAACGCGTCTATCCCATGTAATTTGAAATAAATGATATTACATATGCTGTTAAGTCTACTACATTTACAAATTGACAACAAAGGTCGGTTGGGTACAAACACTAACGACAAAAGAAATGATTTCAGCTTCCCAATTGTAAAATTTCGAATCCTATGTAGCAACATTGAGCAGCACCTGCATATTTAACTATATATCCAAGATGGAAAGATATTCAAGACATTGCGTTTACTATCAAGATTTTCCTTGATAGAAGGTTGCTGCTTACAGGGAAGCTATTAAACCTAAAGTTCCAAGTGTTAAAGTTGAAATCATTCCTTCAAAGAGTTTACGGACAATACCGTCATGTTTTCCCCAAACTTAACATTGCCAAATGTAGTAATAACGGATTTTGTGCTTACGATAGATATCGACGGATGTCAAATTAATGTGGAGCAGGACTCATCTGAAGCATCTGAGATCAAACAAGGGGGATAAAAAATGTAGCTGTTATTACATGTCGTTAATAACAATTTTCAAAGTAATTTAAATAATGTGTAATTCAGCATATGTTCAGTTGCATATACTTGAAAGCAATAACTTACTTTACATTTTGCAATGTAATCACGAATTACCTTTCAATCACTTTGAAAATAGTTTTTTTGAGGATTAAAACATTTCTTGTTTCTCTGGTGCACTCACACATGTAAACTGTATGTTTTTTTTTTTATCTTATTTCAGTAAGCATGTACTTGGTATATGTACTTTGAAAAAAAGTAAAATAACAAAAATACCGAACTCCAAGGAAAATTCAAAACGTAAAGTCCCGTATCAAATGGTAAAATTAAAAGCTCATACACATCAAACGAATAGAAAACAACTGTCATATTCCTGACTTGGTACAGGCATTTCCTTATGTAGAAAATGGTGGATAAAACCTGGTTTTAAAGCTAAACCTCTCACTTGTATGACAGTTGCATGAAATTATTTCTGTATACTATGATCTTGAATTATCATTATGTTTGAGACCTAATACCTATCTTTCTAAATATTGCAAATTTGTATATCACATAATAACCTTCATCATTCATATAATCTTAGCCTCTAGAGATTGTGTTTTTACTTAACTGATTAATGAGTGTATTATTGCCAATTGATTGAATACCAAAGTAAATAAATAGTTCTTCCTTGCAAGCTAATTAATGTATTTACATATTGATATAAATTAGATAGGTGCAAACTGTTAGATAACCTATTGAAAATATCTTTCAAACATAAAAAAAAATTATCTTGTTTTTGACAAACATAAGAGAGAAAACATAGGCATCTTAAAAAACAAACGAACAAAAAACAAATAATGAATCGGAATCAATACACAACATTGATGAATGTGAGTAAAAATAGTGAGGGTTGTGGATTTGAAATTATAAAAAACTAAAATATACATACATAACAATAATGATCTAAGGAAAACGACGAAGTAAACAACAAGTCACGGATCAAAAACTACTGATAAAAGGAGTTAATAAAATACAACAGTAGTTTACCGATAATCAAATATTGTTGACATAGTTGTTTGTTTTACAGTGAATAAGATTATAACACAATTTTGACTGATGTACCCCAATTTTTGACATTTTTAACTATTATATCTGTTTGTTTTGCTCACATATTGTTGTCATTATAATAGAATTATATGCGACTGTCATACAAATGAGAGGTTAAGCTAGACAAAAAAGAAGGCTGAATCCACCATTTTCTACATAAGGAAATGCATGTACCAAGTCAGGAATATGACAGTTGTTTTCCATTTGTTTGATGTGTTTGAGCTTTTGATTTTGCAATTTGATAAGGGATTTTCCGTTTTAAATTTTCCTTTGACCTCGGTATTTTTGTTATTTTACTTTCTAATAAACCAATCACGAAAATACAAATCAAGGTAAAAAAACAGAATCGCATTAACTTCAATTAAGCAAACATCCCAAGTTGTGGATTCATAACCCATCATACGGATCCACACTCAGTCAAAGTTTTCTAATAGGGAACAGGACACGATCTGTATATCTACTAACCAAACGACTATTTAGGTAACTAAAGATATAATAATGTATCTAGTAATTTGAGAAATTTACACATCGTATCGGTCAAACAAATCGCGACAGTGACCGTAACGAAGGAACTATTCACTTTTATTGCACGTGAATTTTTCTGATTTGTCAAGTTATACTGAGGATCGAGAATCTCAAATTTCATTTTTTAGTGTAGAATGCTGTTTTGTTCTTTTTTGTCTGTTTTCTGTTTGTCTGGTTACCTCTGTTCACAAAGTTGTTCAAGTATATTTTCGTAAAGATTCTAACATGGAGGTAAAACATTATAGTAAACACTCAGTTAAAAAAAATGGAAACTTTGATTTTTAAAAGCAGTGGTAAGCTATGCGAGAATGTTTGGTTCATCAAAGTAGTATAACTCATTCAAGAATGTGTATGCACGTTGGCCTTGACATCGTCGGTTTTGCTTATAACTTTGATGAGGCAAACAAAAGGTAGCAGGTAAAATTTTTATAAAATGAAAATTTGATATTTTTGAACAGAATTGTTACCTTCCGGACAATGATCATTTTCAAATCCGCATGCGGGCATATCAGGGGGAGCATTATGCAGTCCGTATTTTCCATTAGCCCATCGAACCAACTTATCATCACTTTCGGTCTGTAATTGAAGAAAATAAATGTCTTCAATTATAACAGATTAAAAATGTGTTACGTAGACTTATAAACTTGATTAGAAGACTGTTCTTTTCTAGATAGCTGAATTTAGTGGTTAATATAAATTTGTAGAGCATTTTCTTTGTTTGCTTGGCTGTGTTCGTACCTTTTCCTATTACTTAACTATTACATAAATATTCGAACTGTTAAACGTTATAAACTATCAAATAAGAAAAAATTTCGGAAAATTATTTCATTGATGCGATGCATTATAGTGTAATATTGTATTATAATTCAATTTTGGATGTAACACGTCTTCTGATTGTTTGAAAGATTTTGTCTATCAGCTCATAGACATAATTTTCACCTGTTCACGTGACTTCATCAACGTTTTTTCATGATTTATTCCTTAAAAGTGGAATTAAGAATTAAAAAATAAGGACGAACTGTAATATTTTTCTGTCTATTTGAAATGACCTAAACCATGCGGTTTATTTAGTGTGCACCACATTGTTGATGTTATTTCTTCATAGACAGATACAAATAGTACTGTCTTTCCTTAGATAGTCTTTGAGAAACATACGTAAGACATTTATCTAAGCAAAGACTAAACGAAAAATGAATCGATGAATGTGTTATCAATTTAATTCAACCTACCGTATTTAAAACAACACCTGACATGTCATATTTAATTTCAATAATTCTCTGAAATCGCCCGTTTTCTTGCATATCAAGCATAGAAAAATGCAAGAATCTGTCACCATCTGGATCTAATTTGATCAAATGTGTTAAACCTGCGATACAAAAACATACAATAACGATGTCAATAAAATACTTCTATACAGAAAAAGCTTCAACATTGATTCCCATTGATGTTGACTGTTATATTTTGTTGGGTTCCCCACCCCCACCCCCTCCAACAGAAAAAGACACGTCACGTTTTCTGTTGGTAGTCTTCATTTATCACAACTAAGCTATTTCTCAGAGAGAAATTCATGGTCAGACTTCAGCAACAAAATGAATACAATTATTATAAACTCCTTGTTTACTACATGTTGTAAATGTTGTTAACCATTTTAAGCTCCAATTGCAATTTTCTTATCTAATTAGGAGAAGGTTGGTGTAATTTATCGTGTTCAGATTTGAGGTATACTCAAAACGTTGTAAGTTGGTTAATTAAATGGAAATTTCAATGGATTTCGTAGAAAAAGGCAAAGTTCGAAATAAATATAATCACACCATATATATGTTTTTTTTAATTGCTAAGCTATGAGTAGAAGAAAAAGAATAAGTAAAACAAACAATAATAAGATAATTTGAAAGACCATTGATATTGACCATGATATGAGATATCAAAGTTAAATTAAATTTACTTCAGTCAGATAGACACTTTACAGATTTATGATAATTTTTTTTTCCTGATGAAAAAAAAAGTATCAAAAATTCAATATCAATATGAAAACCAATAATAGTTCTGAAGAACACTTTATATCTGTTCATGGGGCCTCTGTGGGCTAGTGGTCTAAGTAGTCAAACAACTGTATCACTAGCCTGTCAACACTAAGTTCGAATTCCGCACGTGGCAGGTGCGCTCGACTTAAATCTTAATTGACTAGGATTGTCAGTTTTCCTACCGAATGTCGGTGGTTTTTTCCGAGCACTCTGGCTTCCTCCACCAATAAATAATGAATACCACGAAATAGCGCTGAACGTCAACTACTCAATCGATCAATTATATCAAACCAGAAAACATAATGCTCCGGTGAATCAAATACTGAACGTATCAACGAAAATTTTTTTCTGTTTTGAAGCAGATTTTCAAAAATTTATTAAAAAAATATTCAAAGGTAGATCTATAATAATTTCTTCTCAGAATAAACTCTCTCTAGGATGAACATATTTTTTCAAAACATCCTTTAAAAGCTATATCAAAACCCTGTGAGCCTGAAAATCATATTAAATATTGCTTATTTGTGCGATGTAGGTTTATAATAGTTGCAACATTAGACACTACCTTCTAGATAAAAGTTAACAGTTCTTTTTTTCATGATGTCACCGTCTGATGAATCTTCGTTTTCTTTCAATATCTTATCCGCCATTATAGCCCAGATTAGCGTTGCGTCATACAGGTATGGAGCGTATGCATCATGCTGTAAGGAAAGACAATATCAAAGTTGTATATAGATATAAGAAGATGTGGTATGAGTGCCAATGAGACAACTCTCCATCCAAGTCAAAATTTATAAAAGTAAACCATTATAGGTCACAGTACGGTCTTCAACACGGAGCCTTGGCTCACACCGAACAGTAAGCTATAAAGGGACCCAAAATTACTAGTGTAAAACCATTCAAACGGGAAAACCAACGGTCTAATCTATATAAAAAACGAGACACGAGCCACATCAACAAACGACAACTACTGAACATCAGATTCCTGACTTAGGACAGGTGCAAACAAATGCAGCGGGTTTAAACGTTTTAATGGTACCAAACCTCCACTCTTTTTCTGAAACAATAGTGTAACATCACAACATAGAAAGACACACTATAAAATATCAACTGAAATAGCTTAACTCAATCAAAGGACATATTAACACCATTGAACATACACTGAACAAATAAATTTGACCCATGATACAATGTAAATACAAAATAAATAAACTAAGGGAAGAATAATAAAAGTAACATGTTATATCGGTATGAAATGTTAAACAATTAAAGAAAACCAATCTGTTCGAACAAAAATGTCAGCCGTTTGCAATAACTTTAAACACAGGTAAATGTAAATAATTTTGTTGTTAGGTATACGTATACAGTTCCAATAGAGAAAGGAAATATTTTTACAAAATAAATAATTTTGATGTTCATAGTACGAAGTGAAAATTTATAGTAATACCAAACACTTATAAAAGCTGGTATATAGACCAGATATAACCCTGAATAAAATTAAATAACAAAAAAGCAATACAATTAGTATCAACAGGTCAAATAAACAAGAAAGTACGATTTGAGAGTACTCGCAGTTACTGACGCTAGTTAAAAGCCAAAACAATTAATAATAAAAAATCATGCATCAGAGACTAAAATCAACTAAAACACATCCCAGGGATTTAGTATACCTACATGTAGTTTGAGTTTGCAGTGTGCGACTGTCAGAGTGATTAAAGTAGTAAAAGAGAGGCGAAAGATACCGAAGGGACATTCAAACTCATAAGTCAAAAACAAACTGTACACAAAACACAACATAGAAAACTAAAGACTGAGCAACACGAACCCCACCAAAAACTGGGGGTGATCTAAGGTGATCCGGAAGGGTAAGCAGACCCTCCTCCGCATGTGGCACCTGTCGTGTTGCTAATGTTAGTACAAACCAAGTAGTAAATGTAATTCGGTAGGTCACATTCGGGAAAAAGGAGGGGGGGGGGGGATTGTTGTTACGACAGTAGGAACATATCCGCTGTCATCTGTGAAACGGATATTCCATAACGGTCAATCAACTCGTGATGGCGACCGTAAAATTTTACGAAGGGATGATTTCAACTTTAATTAGTTATATTTCATGTTACTGTATACTTTGTACAAAGTTATTTTAGCCATAGATATATTAACACACCGCACGTGAATGATAAATAGCGTTTATAAAAATCGTGACCATTATATCGAACTCGTATCTTCCCTTCCATGAATACATCAGTTACGACATGTTTTATGTAATACATCAAGGTTATGCAGCATGAAATTTATTTTCCAAAGTAATAAATAAGTTGGTACCTTCATTTCCATCAACACATTGCTTGAAACTATAATATTTATGTCAGATTCCTGATTCCAGGAGTTGGTTTAGGGTAAGGCCGAAAGTGGCAAAGCGGCGAAGATTACATTTAATATGTTTTAGTGAAATGAAATTATTATGAATCATCTATTTCATAGATTTGAAAAATTATATGGTTATTTCTTAAATACAATTTATAATAACTTATTTATATTGAGTTCTCATCTAAATGTTGAAAGCCAGAGATGAAAATAAAAAATCAGATATGTTGTAAAGTCAATGAGACAGAAATTGAACGACTACAGTTTTAAACAATGAATAAGTGTCGTTAAAAAATGTCTATCTCGAAATCTTTCAGAGTTAATCCTTCTCTAGTAGTTTTAGTTGATTCTTGCTTCATTTGTTTTTCTCTCACCTACCTCTGACACAGGCGGCAGATTGATCCAGTTGTTATTTTCTAAATTCGTCATTTTATTCACTAGGTGATTAAAATGCTCTGATAACTTAGCACTTTCAAACGTAGGCATGATAATCTAAAACACAAAGAAATTATTAGAAAAAATATTAGTTCAAATGTTGAATAACAAATCTGGGTAATACATGTTTTGCAGATTCGCACCAAAAAGTGTCAAGCATATAACAAATAAAATAGTTACATAAACAAGAACATAATAATTCCACATCTATCTAAATACACTAATGTAAGGTTATATTTACTACATTTATATCACTAGTAAACCAATTTTGATCTTAAACTGTCATGTTCATCTTAACATAATCTGAAAAGCCTTCACAATTAAATATTCAGTCATGCAAAGCCTTTCATTCAATTGTAGGACTTATCTACTACGGTAAATTTAGTACTGTTCAGACAATTCGCTTGCTGTCAATTTAATACTGTTCAGTAGCTTTGTAGACAATTCAATATGATGTTGGTGTGTACAGGTAAAAAGTAACTACTGATTAGTCTAAACATAGACTGCACAGATCGCTATTGACTGCAATCGAATTGTCTGAATAGTACTGAATTTATCGCAGTGAAAAGGCTAAACATTATTTGATTGTGTAGTCTTTAAGAACTGATCAGATCCAAATGATTGTTTCATATCAAAATAGGTTTACCAGTTATTATAGAAGTACCAGGATCATGACAGAAACGGGTCTGACGCCCTTACTTCTAAAGACTGTTTAATAAAACTCAAATATGACAAAAAATATTGGGTAGGTTTTAAAATGTGTAAAAATTAAAAAAAAAAAGTGATGAAGATTTTGTAATTATGGAATGTTGTCTCTTAGATCATTAGCAAAAATATACAAGAATGAGACGTTCATACACAATAAAAAGGGAACTGATTTTCATCATCCAGATAATAGAATAAAAACATCCGTACGTCCAAAGCGCTACTCAACATTTCTTTCATTGGAATGATCATGTTTTTACACATTTCATTACCTAAGGAATAACACTATGTCTTAATTTGGATAACAGTTGTATATATTATGTCAAATTATTGCTATTTGAATAATCATCACACTGAAAATTAGCTTTAAGCTTTCCATAAAGACAAAGTTTAAAGGAGAAATCAAATGATAACAAAATATTTAAAACCTATTCGTTATATTTATCTGAAACAAACTGTTTATTTTAAATGTTAACACTTTTTTATTGTTTGATGGGTTTATCTGAACGATTTTTATAATATGTTTCTGTTACTTTAGAAATGTTTTCAGAAAACAAGTACCAAGAGTAATTTTCTGCATTAAGTAACTTTACATTAGTTTCAAGTGATTCTCTAACAATTGAATTATTATTATGAAAATTTATATTATAAAAATATATCAAAGCTTGATTTATTAAATACTAGTCCAAAGTAAATCTACATAACACTTACCTTGCATTTTTATTTGGGGCTGTCTGTTTCAGCCCTGATGCTGCTTTACAAAATTTAGAATAGAGTTATGTAGAAAGTAATTTTTTCTGCAACTACCAAGATGTCACAAACAGAATTATCATCAAATTGTATTAGCTGCTTTCTGAGTTGACTAAAATGTCCTTTTACAACATTTCAAAATTGTATGTCAACACAGGTCAAATAAAAGTGTCAAATAATTGACATGACAATCTAGTGGATACAAAATGTTAACAAACAATTCCAGCTGTAATCAAATGTATTTAAATAAAAATCAATTGTTCTCATTACCGCACCAACGAATTCTAAAAGTTTAATTGTATTATGAAACTTACATGTAAAACAGATTCAAATGCTTGCCTTGCGCCTTGGTCGTCTTTGTCATTTTTACGCCATACTTCGTCTGATAAAACTTCGGTACTCAATTCTTTCCATGTATATAACTGAAACAGTTATCATTTTAACAGGAATATAGAACATGTAGACAGAAAGAAACATATGTAAAAGAGAGGCGAAAGATACCAAAGGGAAATTCAAACTCATAAGTCGAAAATAAACTGACAACTCCCTGGCTAAAACGAAAAAGACCAACAGACAAACAAAATGTACACAAAACACAACATAGAAAGCTAAAGACTGAGCATCACAAACCCCACCAAAAACGGGGAGGGGGATCCCATGTGCTCCGAAAGGGTAAGCAGATCCTGCTCCACATGTGGCACACGTCGTGTTGCTCATGTAAAACTCATCAAACATACCAGGCGTATGATTTGGTCACCATACGCCAATATCTTCTACATAAGATTTGGCATTGGCGTTTGAATCAAAACAATTGGAAAACCAAATCAACTTGCTAGTTGAATACCTCTGAAAACCAAAAATTCCAAAACCTTTGCCCAAAATTTTGTAATATAGTCATGTTTTTTTGCAATGTATATGTTCAGTTGAACTAGAAATTCCGACTTCCCTTACTCATCTATATTGTATCCCTAAATTCGTCTTAAAGCTTCTTTGAAATATGTTCTAGACTTCCATGTCCAACACATCGATTTGCCATATTGCCATTAGTAAAACAGGAACCTCTAACACTTCCGGAGATCACGCCTTATCTCATCCTCGGATTGAGATTGTTATTCATGGAAGATGTTTGTAGGAACATACAAAAAAGTATAACAAAAATACAGAATATTCAAAAAGGCAAAGTCCATAAAAACTGACAAAATCAAACGCCATCATGCAACGGACAAGTGAAAAACAACTGCCATATTCCTGACTTGGTGTGTTAAACCTGGTTGTATAGATAGCTAAACCTCCCACCTGTATGATAATTAAGACATAATTCATGGGGGCTTGAATATATCGTGATTTTACCACGGGTTGGCCCTCTATGACAAATATTTTACTCTGAGCGATAGCGAGGGGTAAAATATCGGCATAAAGGGACAACCCGTGGTAAAAGCACGATATATTCAAGCCCCCATGAATTATTTCGATTCTAATAGGACAAATACGGCAATTCTTTCGGATCGAAGCGCTCTAGGTAAAGGCATTATTGAGGGGCCTGATGGGTTATTTTCGTTCTTCGTGATCGGCGCATTTTTGCTATCGTGATCCGCTTTTCTACAGATTTATTTTTTTTTTATATTTTCGTGATCCGTGATCATGGAAATTTATTTTCTGTGAATCGTGATTGACAAAAAAAATCAACTCGTGAATCTTGATGAGACTCCCCCATCAGGCCCCTCATTATTTGCCGTTCCCATAAATAAACGCACTATTAAATTGACGTAAAAGAACGGAGCAAACTGAATAAATGGCATGCTTAAACTATTTACAATGACATATTTAGATAGGTTTGGATGAATCTAAATGATAATTGTATTTATATGTCTTATATGTAAACAAAAAATGGCTTATATAACACAGTATAGCATCGTTTGTTTACGTTTCCTTTTTGTGATGATTTTCGGTTTCACAAGCGTGTATTTTCCCGTAAAATGCTTACATTCTTACGTCATCGTTCTATGACGTCGGGTAGCTCATTCATGAAAAGCATATGACGCGGGAGTACGATCGGAACAGTCCAAACAATATATTCATATTTTACCACGGGTGTGTACTCAAAGCGTTTGAAGAACGTCATGTTAGAATGGCTTATATAACACATTTTAGCATCGTTTGTTTATGTTTCCTTGTTGTGATGATTTTCGGTTTCACAAGCGTGTATTTTCCCGTAAAATGCTTATATTCTTACGTCATCGTTCTATGACGTCGGGTAGCTCATTCATAAAAAAGCATATGACGCGGGAGTACGATCGGAACAGCCCAAACAATATATTCATATTTTACCACGGGTGTGTACTCAAGGCGTTTGAAGAACGTCATGTTAGAATTGTTTATAGTTCCGTTATATTGACAAAATTAGGTAAGCAAGTGATCTCTTAAAAAACACTATAATGTTCGTGTGTCCGTATGGATTTTCCGTTACCAGGAAGGCTCAAAACCTAAAAATTTGAAAGCAAGGGATGTATACTTACATCTCCATGAATGCATAAAAAAGCAAAATCACCACTGGACATCCCAAGTCTGTGTGCAACGATCATATATCTTCTTAATGTGTGTATAGGAACAGAAAATATCAAAACCGATATTCATACCGAAAATCCTTAAAAATATATGATTGATTAAAAGATATTTATTTACATAAAAAAAATTATCGCTATCTGAAAAGCAACTATTAGTTATTTGTTTTCTTTATTCAGAACAACGTCTTCTTTAACATGTTTAAGTTCTGATTTTTCAAAAGCAAAAGTATGTTTTCTTCAACATGAAATAGCGTTAATTCTCCGTTTGGTATAAACCGGATCGCCTTTACAAAGCACCACCAGTTTTTTCTTGTCTTATATTCGTTAATTTTTGATTTTACACTATTTATATTTTTAATTCACAATGAGAATATTAATATTAACCAGTTATCTATTACGATGCTAGTTTCGTTGCTTGATAAGTCAATAGCTGGCATTAAGCGATTACACAAGGGACACCAAAGTAATGTAATAAAGAATGTGGTGAAATATGTTTTTAAGCGGTTAACATTCACCTACTTTGAATCATTGCTGAAATAGCTATACATGAGAATAAATTATAAAAATCAGTTGGTAATGGCTAGGCTCATCAGATTGACAATAGGCACGAAACAAACTAACAAAGACAAAAGACCTGACGTACCAATCTAAGAGCAATCACAGTTCCTGAAATCTAGTTCAAAGCTCATTACAAATAATTCAACTTTTATCAGACTTAAACATCAGTAATTACACATCCAACAAATTGAGTGTAAAAAGGTCATAAATAGCATTGAAAAACATGGTATTGTGATTTGGTTTTTGATTTTTGGTGTTTTAACGCCACTTTTAAGCACCGCTTTTGGGCTATTTCGTGGCGGCCAGTTTTTATTGGTGGAGGAAGCCGGAGTGCCCGGAGAAAACCACCGACCTTCGATAAGAAAACTGACAATCCTAGTCAATTAAGATTGGAGTCGAGTGCACCCACACAAGCGGGGTTCGAACTCACAACCTCAGTGTTGACTGGCTAGTGATTATAGTAGTAACTACTTAGACCACTCGGCCACCGAGGCCCCTCCATGGTATTGTGCAACGCCAACAGATAAACATGGACAGGATGTACACCATAAAGTATTCCTATCTGTATATACATACATGTTTAAATAGAGGCGGAGGATATGTTTTATTTTATAAAAAACAAAATCAATGTTTGTATAAAGTTGACTTTTACCTTTTCTATAATATAAAGAATCAAACATTTCTCATCTGAAACTACTATATACATTTCTAAAAACAGATTTAATCCATTACACCATAATGAGACAAAATCTATTTTTTCCCAAATTATTTTTATCCAAATCGAGTGTCTTGGATTTTTGTCATTATAAACTTGCTTTTCCATGTTTTCGAAAAATTCCAATCAACATAGTATCCAAACTTTGAACATCGTCTCTTAACATTTATATATATATATATTAATAGTATCACATGAACTTAAAAAATCGGGCAACATTATTATCGGTTGTAATGTGATACCATTTCATCAAATATTGCTGTTGTCCCGCCTGCGACAGTGTCCCGCCTGCGACAGAAGTTAAGAAGTTGAGACATAGGGATCCTAAATTCCGTCGTCGTGTTGCGGTCGTCCGCGTCACCAACATTCAGGTTCGGCATAAGATAAATCGTTTTAATACATCAATTACTTTGTAAAGCCTACATGGAATCTTACAAAACTTGGATGAAAGCATATTTTTTTATCAAGAGACAGCATCTGGAGCAAAATTCTGAATATGCTTTTACTTTTTTCGTATTTAACTTATAAATAGACGTTTTACCTTTTTTGCTGTTTAAAATTTAGATACATTTTAGGGTTAACGCTTTCAGACGTAAATAGCCTTATCAAACGTGCATGGTATTTCATGATATTAGGACAGAATTGTCTTCATGGTCGAATGATCAAGAAGCAGCATTATCTTGTATTTTTTTTATAAATGAAGTTTACATTTATATGTAGTTATAGTTTTTTTAAACTTCAATAGCTTTTTATTTTTTTTATTGAATTCCAGGAAAATTTTACAGAATCTTCTTCATAATGAGAAGATACCAACTGCAATGAAATTTTAAACACCCCTTATTTTCAGTAATTTACAAACAAATTAACTTAAATCCACGTTATTTTGACCCTGACGGATATTGTTTCAATAGCAATCATACCATATCTCCTTATTTTATATTTAATTTAGTAGGTTTGCGGTCCAGATTTAAGTACAGTCATAAATGTAAAAAAATTCACCTTAAATCATTTTGTCTAATTTTTATGGAACTTTACAGAGAAATCAATTCTAAAAGAGTAGAAAGGTGAAATAGTTTTTGAGATTTACAAAGGGGGAATATTAAATCATCGAATAACCGACAACAACATCGTCACACGTCCACAACAATGAGAAAACCCAACACTGTGTTGTATTGGTTAAGAAAGCCAAAGAACGCAAAGAAGCAACACCTTCGGTGGGAAAACTAGCCAAATTAAGAGGAGCAATAATCATGAAGACTGGCCACATAAGGAGGAGCAGTAGTCATCCCTGTTAGACTAGTCGATTTTCCCCCCATAGGCATAACGTTAAAGCCGCCATCTTGGATGGAGGAGGGAATTTTCGATATGGGTCAAGTGGTCATTTTTAATTATTTTTTTTTAATAAGTAACATAATTAAGAAATTTTTGTGTGTTCTTAATTAATAATTAATTTTGACAATTAATAATATAATTAAGTAGATTAATTTAATTCCTAATTAATAGTTAGTTTTGATAATGGTCGGAGTCTGATTAATTACTCCTCTTGTATGGCTGTTTAATTTAACAGAGAGTTGACCAAATCAATTAACACAGACAAAACGTTAATTGTAGCTGACCAGAAGTAGAATAAACAGTATATTATCATGTGTATTGTCAAAAAAATTAAAAGAACAACGTATATCAAAATATTTATTTCAACTTAGTCTAATTTTAAATGACCTACTTAACGAACCGTACATTCAATGTTTACATGAGTATTAATAGATGTACACAATGTATGTGTAAATTAATGTTATTTTTATCAACAGTAAATATTGTTTTTTTGTGAAACTTGGGTGATATAATTTCTGCAATGAATATAATTCTTAAGAGACAGTTAATTGTTTCAAATGAATATAATTTAGTGATAACTTGGTAATGTTTTATATTTTGACCATGTTGACGCTATCTTTAACTGGATTATACTGGTTTACACCTGTGCATAAATATACATTATGTCTGGTCACTGAAATCCTATTTCTAGTTCGATTCATCGTTTTTAATAAGACTAAATAAACAAATTAATACAAAAAAAAACTCAAAAAAACCACACACACACACACGCACATACCACTTGTATTGACATTTATAAATAAGTATTAAAGAAATCAGTAGACCTGAACAAAACAATCAGATCCGTTTGTTGTTGTTCTTGTCTATGGAGAGCTCACCGTTACGATAATAATTGTAAACTAAAATTAATCCATATGAAATAACCGATAATTATTAACGCCAATCAGTTCCAGGAACAATTATGTAGCGTTATCGGATAAATTGGGCACATCCATAGATTGTAATTATGTTAAATGTGCTTTTCTGGTAGCAGTAATAAAAAAACACGACTTATCAACATGGCGAACATATTTAACTGAACAGGTAAATTTTGGGGGAAAATGGGTCAGTCCATTTAAAGGGGGATTAAGCACTGAATGAATGTTGATTTCTGATTAAAATTTGTCTTTAAATGATTTTACCGTGATTGTTTTCTACATTACTATAATAAAATGACATAATTAATATATATTTTTTATATAATTCCGTGTTTAAATAGATTTTTAATTTATGAACATCAGAGTTGTTATCCCTAATGATGAACCGTTCCACGAACCACTATAAATACGATAAAACTCAGGTGAGTTCATGCCTCTTGAGTTAAAGTTCCAACGAGCCACCACGTCATTTCAAACTGACAATAGTTGTAAGTATTTAAATACCATAAAATATTATGATATATGGAGGTGAACCAATTTTTTCTACTCAGAAAAGTGTTAGTCAAAATCTCAAAGAGTAACCCCGTTCCAATGGCAGAGAGTGTGGTCCTTTATGCTCGCAATTGCCTTGGAATAGATATCAACACACCACCTCTGTTGATATAAGGGTACTTTGAAAAAGGTGATTAAACTTTTAACATTAATGAAGCAAGTGTATTTTAATTAGAACTAATCATAATTGCAAGGTAAATATACATGAACATCTAGAGTAGATTTCCACGTGCATGTATGTGAATGAGGCTCTAGTTGAGGTCATTTAGCCAATAGCGGATGTTTGGTGCTTGACATGATCTGTCCACTGCTATGTGTCTGACTATTCATCCGATCCTACACATGCATGGTCTCGTTTGTCGAGGGGAGACTCCGTCCTTTTAGGAGTCAGCGTGAAATCTACCGAACGTTTCTTGTAAAGGGCATCAGAAATGTTTAGATTTTCATGTATATTTACTTTTTGTAATATGGTGCACTAGTTGATATATTCGAGAAAATGCATATACTTTAGATAAAAAAAAAGGTTGGTATAAAAAGAATAAACACTGTTAATTTAATATTTTTTTTTATTTGTAATACAATTATAAAAGAAAATAATGTACATTTGATACTCATTTATGAGTTTAATAGTCTTTAACATCACTGGCTTTCACCCAGGAATTAAACTTGTTTGGCCAATTTAACCATTTGATATAATATTGTTTATATGATCCTCTTCCTTTGGTTTTTATCACTTTTTCAATTTTCCACAAGGAATTATCTTTGATGTTTATTCGTTGAAGTTCAGATTCGTAGTAGGATCCAGCTATTTCCTCTCCATGGTAATCTTTGATGCGATATAAAGGTGTCATGTTTCTCCAAAATCGTCCGGATATCGTAAATACCTCACCAGTCCATTTTTCGTCATATTCCCGAGAAAAAATATTTCTCAAATATGTAAGTCTTACTCGATCTCCAAGTTTAAACCTAAAGCGGTACTGTTTCTTTAACTTTCCAGAATGTGATCTTGAAAAATATGTCGATAATCGAACAGTTTCTGCATTTTCTTTTTTTACTTCAATGGGTGCCATGTCGATAGTGCTATGAATAGTATGGTTGTATCCATCTGCAAAGCTTTGAAGCTTGTCTATGTATCTGTAAGACTGGTTGTACGAAAAGTATCGATATATTTTCGTTTTTATAGTTTTTATAACACGCTCGGACACTGATGCCTTAACCTCATTAAATGCATAAAAATGATTAATCCTTTCCTTTTTAAAAACTGTCTGAACTCTCTTTGCCTTGAACTCCTGTCCCATATCCGTTCTTATTCTATTTGGAACTCTTCCAGCTTTAAATATGTCTTGAAATGCAGCTGCAACGGATTCGCCTTTTTTATCTTTTAATTTACGTAGCCATAAATACTTTGAAAACACATCAATGACTACCAATACGTATTTATATTCTTTATTGTATTTTGAAAACTTGACCATATCCATGAGATCAGCAGACCACTGGTCATCTATGCCGGCAACTACGATTTCCGTTCTATTCTGTGGTCTTCTTAATGGTCGTTGTAAACTGTATGGTTCCTGGCTTTGTAACCATTTTCGTATCTTATATTTACTAATTTTGAACTTTCCTTCTTTTTGTACATAATTATAAAGTTTGTCTGGTCCCGAAAAGCTAGCAGAATTTGACAGAATGTAGTAAATGTCCTTTAGATATTTCTCCCATGCAGACATGTTGTCAACACAAATATTTAAATGGATATAATGAAGTCCGTGTTATACAGTATGTTATAAAGTCTATTCTTCCTCTTGTATATCTTCGTCAGTGTCCTCTTCATCGTCCTCATCGTCGTTATCCTCATTGTCACTATTCATTTCAAAGTAATCATCATCAAATAGTTCATTAAATTGATGTCGATTTTTCATGAGAATACGCCGAATTTGAGTTTCATAATCTGTATCGTCTTCAACAACATCCCGAATTTGTCGTAAAATGTCAGAGTGCACATTGCTTTCATCTAGGGGAACGATCAGTTTCAACAAATCAGTATAGCGTTTAAAAAACTGACGTTGAACAAGATGGGTTATTTTTTGATTGCTTCGTTGAATGGCGTCCTCCTTATTCATACCCTCTTTCACGTACTTGTCATATTTCTTATCCCAAGTATCTTTTGCTGTATCAATGGCTGCATTTAATAGGGTTTTGTATCCTTCATTGTCGTCTATATTAACATCTTCAACTTCACTACTATCGTCTGAGCCACTATCATATTCAACCCATTCAGGGACCGACTTTTTAGAAGGATTCTCGTTACCTAGGTCTTCGTTGTCTCTTTTCCTCTTTAAAGATTCGTTTTCTGGACACCAATGTTTGATATGTCTTTTTAAATCGTGCATGCTGTCAAGCACTACTCCGCAATCGTCACAGGAGGGCATATTTTCATACGTCTGTTCACTAGGATCGTCTTCATAAGAATAAGGAACGGCTGAATGCTGGTCTGTTTTTATATCCTTTGAAGTAGGGATGAATTCATTACTCTTTGATGGTTGTTGTTGTAAAACGTTAGCAAGCAGTCGATTTGATTCTGGTGTCGATGGTTTTAAATCCAGAAGAAGATATCCAAATGGTTTACTAGTTGATTCTTCAAATTTTTCTAAAAAGTATGGTCCTTTTCCAGGATACATTTGTCTACCTAAAGTCATTATCTGTTGTTTATCGATAGGGTTATTAAATAATACCAAGTAATGACAATTTCTTCTCTGTGTAGGATCTTTACTGAAGTAAAGATTTTGATTTAATACTACAACTGATAGATTTCTATGATGGCTCCCTTCCGTAAACAAGTCAGTGATTCTAGGATCTTTTGCTGATGTTGACATTAAATCGTCCAAAACTATCATATTTCTTACACTTGAATCCAGATAGCTATCCTTCTCTAAATCAACTGGTATTCCTTGTACGAATTCAACATACGGTTGAACAGTCTTTTGTATTTCGTCGTAGAGTGGTTGCCAACGTCTGTATAGCCATATTATTCTCTGAATAATGGGCTGAATAAATCTTGAATTCTGAAGAAGTTTTTTCACAAAAAATGTTTTGCCACATGATGTAGGTCCGCTCACCGTCATCGTGAATGGATGTTTAAACACAAAGTGTTCTGTTTCTTCCTTCTGCGGCGGCGGCGGCGGCGGCGACGGTGGTGATTCTCCCTTTTGCGGCGGTGGCGTATCCTCATTACGCGGCGGCGGCGGCGGATACGCATGACTGCCCTGCGGATATGGTTGAGTGATTCCATGTTTGTTTCTATGATGTCGCATCATAACGTCTTTTCTAGAAAATTGTAGTTTACACATGGGACACGTTTTATCATCCATCTGCTCTCTTTGACAATCAATCGTTAAATGAGTATCTTCACAATATTTCAATATTTATGACTATCATGGAACTATGGGTAAAGTTAGACTATTTAAATCTTTAATTTTTTCAGAATCAATTCCTTTGTACTAGAACTATAAAGAAGGAAAGATGGCAAGAAAATACGAATGTCAACAATGTGGAGCTTCATTTTCTAAACTTGGAATGTTGATCAATCATCGTCGACAATTTGGACATAAAGATATATATCCGTGTACAATTTGCCAGAAGACATTTGGACGAAAAGATAATCTAGATCGTCATATATTGAGACACCAGGATGAGTCTTTATTTCAATGCAACGACTGTGGTATACTGTTTTCGAGGCATGACAATTTACAACGCCACAGAAAAGAAAATCATAATCAGATTGGTAGAGGTTTGAAAAGACCAGCTGAGGATGACCTTAACCAAAGTTCAAAACGTCTAGTAACCAGTAAAGACGACCCTGAACAATTCTACGACCTACGTGTTTTGTCAACACAGCATATGCATAAATTTAATACATCGACTACTCGTTACAAGGTATCGTTCAAAGAATTAGAAGTTCATGATCTACCTAAAATATTGAAGACATTACGCTTGTTATTTGCATCTATAATTAGAAATATTACAGAGTTCATGCAGTCAACAGACCTCATACGATTGTCAGTCCAATGCCCAGAGTTGGATTTTCCTATCACCATACCTTTCATGAAAGTCTCTCAGCTTTCAGTTGAAACATTACTGCATGAGATAGAGAGAGTTTTGCAGTCATATGAACAATTTGTGTTGGATGACACGCTTGAAATTGAAATGACACACGTCGTGCTTCCAACAGGGGGAACGAAAAAGCTAAGTAAATATGTTGATTTAGAGCGTTTTTTGAAAACAAAGCAATGCATTATCAGCATTTCAAACAAAGACGATATATGTTGCGCCAGAGCATTGATAACTGCAAAAGCATCTCAGGAAAAACATGAAAAATGGGACAGTATACGGAGAGGTTATGCGTTGCAAAAGAAACTTGCCATCGAGCTGCACACACTTGCCAAAGTTCCCCTTCATAAATGTGGAATTGAAGAAATCAAGAAGTTCCAGACAGTTATGACAGATTATCAAATTTATATTGTATCAAAGGAACATTTTAACGGAATCATCTACCATGGACCAGAGGCAGAAAAAAAGATCTACTTGTATTTCCATGATGGTCATTACGACGTTATTACTAGTATGCCTGCCTTCTTGAGTCGAAGTTATTATTGTGATACATGCCAAAAGGGATATCAACATAAAGAAGAACATCGTTGCAATAACATTTGTACATCATGCCATAAAATACACGAGAAAACAGAAGAAGATTGGATATACTGTAACGATTGTAATCGTCATTTCAAGGGAGAACATTGTTATAACCTTCACATACAGACAACCAGCAAAGGCCACTCTACCTGCAATTCATACTATCGGTGCAAAGTTTGTAGTCAAACTATAAACAAGAAAATGCACAAGAAAACACATAAATGTGGAGAAAGTTACTATAAGACTTGCAAAGATTTCTTTGAAGTTGGACATCTCTGCTTTATGCTTCCAGTTGTAGGCGACAGACAGCAAAAACATAAAGGTACTGGAAATAGAAACCAGGACAACGAAGATATGTCATTTCCTGTAGACGAAAGTGACTCTAATCGCCAAGTTTACATCTTCTTTGATTTTGAATGCACCCAAGATGATTTGTTAGAATGTCCTGATGGCTATCACCCAGGAGGAGACAACTATGGATGTAAAAACTGCGGCACAACTAAATGTGGAGCTTATGAACACAAACCAAATCTATGCGTTGTTCATAAAGTATGTGTAGAATGTTTAAAACAGGAAGTTACACAACAAAGTGAATGCAAGATATGTGGAAAGAATGAGCTTGTATTTAGTGGAATAAATACAACAAATGAATTTTGTCAATGGCTTTTTTCTGGAAACAATAACGGAGCCACAGTCCTTTGTCATAATTTCAAAGGATACGACTCTTTTCCTATTCTTCAATGCCTGTACCAGAATGGTGTTCTTCCAAAGATCGTTCCAAGCGGAGCTAAAAACATGTCCATTGAAGTTCCTTCATGCAATATAAGAATGATTGACTCCATTAATTTTTTACCTATGGCACTCTCAAAATTACCTAAAATGTTCGGAATTAAGGAACTACAGAAAGGGTATTTTCCCCATCTTTATAACAGGAAAGAAAACCAAACCGTCGTGTTAAATCATCTTCCAAATGTCATGTTTTATAACCCAGACGCCATGAAATCAGGGGATAGAGAAGTATTTCTTGAATGGCATCAGGCTAACGTGAACAACCTTTTTAATTGCTCTGTAGAACTTCTACAATACTGTCGATCAGATGTAGATATACTTAGACAATGTTGTTTAAAGTTTCGGGAATTGTTTATGTCTATGACTTCATCATCAACGGATGATAATGGCATTGATCCGTTTGTAAACTGCATTACCATAGCTTCTGCGTGTAATTTAGTGTTTCGCACAAAATTCCTGCGTCCAGATACTATTGGTATAATACCAGCGCAAGGATACCGTCCTGAAGAGAAACATTCTGTTAAAGCCATACAATGGATTAAATACGTATCACAGTCTAAAGGGGTACATATTCAGCACGCACGGAACGGTGGAGAAAAAACAATTGATCAATACAAGGTCGATGGATACTATGAAACCGGTGATGGTGAAAAGGTTGTTATGGAATATCATGGCTGCTTTTGGCATGGATGTCCAAAATGTTACACACAGCACACCATTAACACTGTGAATAAGTTATCAATGGCAGATCTGTATCACCAAACCATGGAGAAGAAAATCCACATTGAAAAGCAAGGTTATACATACAGTTGTATATGGGAATGTGAGTTTGATAGGGAAATACGAGAAAATATCGACACCAAAAAGTACATTGACTCCATCGATATTGTCACTCCATTGGAACCAAGAGATGCTTTTGCAGGAGGTAGAACGGAAGCATTTCAACTTTACCACGAATCTTCAGATGGTGAATATATCAAATACTATGATGTAACCTCACTTTACCCTTACATCAATAAAACTGGTAAAGCCGTATTAAGTCATCCAAAAATTTTTACAGAAAATTTTGATGATTTAGAAACATATGAAGGATTAATCAAATGCAAAGTATGTCCTCCCCGTGAACTTCACATTCCTGTGTTACCCGCTAAGATTAACAACAAACTGATGTTCTCCTTGTGCAGAACTTGCACAGAGTTGAAACAACAAACCACATGTCATCACAACACAGAAGAAAGATCATTCATAGGAACTTGGGTAACAGATGAGTTAAAGATGGCATTACAAAAGGGATATGTAGTGGACACAGTATATGAAGTATGGCATTTCAATGATGTTGAGCAATACGATCCGAAATCAAAATCAGGAGGAATTTTCACGGAATACATCAATACATTTTTGAAGATGAAACAAGAAGCCAGTGGATGGCCAAGTTGGTGTATTACTGAAAAGCATAGACAGAAATATATTCAAGATTATTTTGAAAAAGAAGGAATCTTACTGGACTATGCCAAAATAGAAAAGAATCCGGGCCTCTGTTCCCTTGCTAAACTTATGTTGAACAGCTTCTGGGGTAAATTTGGACAACGGACAAATTTACCTCAAGTTGAGTATGTGTCAGACCCATCCATATATTTTGATATGTTGACCAGTGACCAACAAGTCGTTACCGGTGTCAACTTTGTTACGGATGAAATGGTAGAAATGAGGTGGAAAAACAAGGAAGAATTCTTGGAAACTTCTGGCAGAACCAATGTAGTATTAGCTGCATATACTACAGCTCAAGCTAGACTTAAGCTGTACAGTTATTTAGATAAGTTAGGACAACGTGTCATGTACGCAGATACCGATTCAATTGTATTCACTGTAAAAGAGGGTGAATGGGAACCACCACTGGGAGACTATCTAGGAGACCTTACAGATGAAGTACCGTCTAATAACATTACACATTTTGTAACCGGTGGTCCTAAAAACTATGCTTACAAATTAGAAAAGCCAGATTCTGCAGGAATTCAAACTGTATGTAAAGTACGTGGTATAACCCTCAACTATAAAAATGCACTTAGCATTAATTTTGATACAGTGCGTGACATGGTGACAAATGCTAGTGATAATAATGTTATTACAGTTGTAGATAAGAACAAGATTTCCAGAGATCAGAAGAATGCCCGAATTATAACAAAAACAGAAAGTAAAGACTATAGAATAGTGTTTGACAAACGAGTTATAGTTGATGATTACAAAACAATACCGTACGGATATTAGAACTTGTGTGTATAAATGACAAGTCTTGTGTATATTCAAACTTTTGTAATCTATTTTCAATAAAATTTGTAACGTATCGTATAGACTTTTCTGTTTTGTAAAATCAAATTGTCTTTACTCATATTTACCATAAATAGTTGTTTGAAACGTAATCACACATATATACATATAAAAAAACGCTCAAGTTCAAATTAAAAAAATTGCCACGTCTGTACGCAAAACAAACAAATGAATGAAATGCGATATGGTCTATTTTGATTAATTCCAAATGACCGTCTGATATCTGATTTTTTTTTACATCACACACCAATAGAATATTGATTTTGTATTATGCTTTGTTTTAGGGAAAACTTTTAAACTCTTTCTACTCTTGACCAGACTGGTCATCAACAATTAACGTTTTGTCTGGGTTAATTGATTTGGTCAAACCCCTGTTAAAATTCTAACAGCTCTACTAGAGGAATAATTAATCAGACTCGGACCATTATCAAAACTAACTATTAATTAGGAATTAAATTAATCTACTTAATTATATTATTAATTGTCAAAATTAATTATTGATAAGAACACACAAAAATTTCTTAATTATGTTACTAATTAAAAAAAAATACTTAAAAATGACCACTTGACCCATATCGAAAATTCCCTCCTCCATCCAAGATGGCGGCTTTAACGTTATGCCTATGGGGGGAAAATCGACTAGTCTAACAGGGATGACTACTAGGAGCGAAGAACATGCAGACTGGCCACATCAAGAGGAGCAAAGATCATGAAGACTGGTAAAATTAGGAGGGGCAAAGATAATGAAGACTGGCCACATTAGGAGGAGCAAAGATTGATTGATTGATTGTTGGTTGCTTTACGCCGCATTAGCACAACAAGGCTATATCGCGGCGAAAGAGGAGCAAAGATCATGAAGACACACCGTATTATGAGAAGCAAAGACCATGAAGACTTGCCACATTATGCGGTGCAAAGAACATACACAATTTTACACAAAAGCTTACATTTTTCAATAAATTTGAAATAAATGCATTTGTTTGCTGCTTAATACCATTATTTTTATTATATACAGCCCTTGGATGGTGTAAACTTCACAAAAAAAAAACGTGTATGGTGTAATGGTGTATGGCATATGGTGCAATGGTAGAAAGTGTATGGTGCTATGGTGTATGGTGTTAGGGGAATGGTGTAATTGTGTAACGTGCGATCAGGAATGGTGTGAATGAATGGTGTACGACATTTAAAACTATGCAAAATATTGATAAGAACTGATTTTTAATTTTATACATAATTTACAATATTGTGATCAAAATTCGTTTTTTAGAATAAATAAATAATTTTGTAGTCGCACGCTTTCTTTGAAATTAAATTGCATTATGGTGTAATGTGTAAGGTGTATGGTGCAAAGGTGTAACGTGTATGGTGTAATCGCACAGGGTGTATGGTGTAATGGTGTATGGTGAATGGTGTAATGGTGTATGGTGTAAGTGGGAAATTTACACCATTCAAGGACTGTACCTGTCTCAAACGATTGAAGGAAATCAATTGATAAATATCTTCTGTTTTCAAATAACTTTATTTGTGCATAAAACATAGCGAACTGTTCCTAAGTGTGATGTGTTTGTTACAATACAGCCTCAAATTAATAACGTTAACAAAACAAACGTTACAAAGAATCATCAAAATTGGACATCATTCATTGTTTGTCGTAAAATCATATTAAACGATAAAACTGTCAAGTATTGGTTTTCGCTTGATATAATTTTGAATGGGTTTGTTTCGAGGTGAAGCTTTTTTTTTTTAGTATCAGGAGAAACTGAGTCAGATATAACGTCATTAACCTCAGTCCATTCCTCAAGTTATTCAACAGAAATTTCTTACATCAGTGAATAGTTACTTACTTCTTGAGTTTTTACGAACTTGTTTGAATATGCTTTCTATTTCATTATCCTCCATCCGTACGTTAACTTCATGCGTACTTCTTATGGTCGCATCTTTATCCTCTGCAATGGCTGCTGCTACAGCCGCATACGGTGCAGCCTCATCGTGGATCATAGAAAATATTTTCCATTTAAACATCTTAGAAACAAAACGCATCACACTGGCTGATAGTATAATGGATAAATGTTACGTATACATATACTTGTGAAGAAACTATAAATATAGTACGCTACTTTAAGAGGATATGAAACAGAATAGAGAATAATGGGCAAAATATGCAGAATAAAGAGCTAAAATATAAAGAATAGAGACAAATAGGGTAAAAAAAAAAGAAAGAATGGAGAATAATGGGGTGCTAAAACATAAATAATAGAGAATAACAGGCAAAATTGATAAAGAATAGAGAAAAATGGCCTCACAATTAAAGAATACAGACAAAAAATCCACGTCCTCTTTTAAGTGTTTCCATATTTGACAGATTATAGCAGGGGATATTTAATACGATTTGCGTTGAAAATGGATGAGGTACAGTTAATGATATATTTTATGTACAAACACATTTTTTCAAAAAGTTATTATGAAGACATTTATTGTTGGATTTCATAGTTTTGTCATCAGTTTTTGTTTTCTCCTAATATAAAAATGCAAAATAATAGTTTACAATTAAATTTAGTTGAAATGTATGAAAAATGTATGAACATTGAATTATACTTGTGTTTATATCATCAGAAGTCCGAAACGCTTCACAACAAAAATATAACCAGATAAATCAATAAGCCTGTGACAAATTTGCTTCTATGGGTATCAAGATGAATAATATCCGAACAGAAATGTCCCCACTATATGCTTTTGGAAAAAAACGTAGTTTTATATGAAATATATAGTGAAAATCAAGTGACGTTTTCTTTTGGCCATGTACTGTATGTCGTTGTGCATTGTTTGATTCATACTAAAACAAATAATCCTTTATAAGAGTTATCGAAAGACGAATTATTGATCTATATTTTACTTCTCTGTTTCACGTTTTTTTCAGCTGTCCGTGATCTAAAGTATTATTATTATCAAACTTTTACTTTTGATTAACTTCAATTTGCATGAAACAAACATCCTTGCAGAATATTGAACGTGTATACTTATACTTTATTGCATACAGACATTAGAAAACGATAGACTATTTTCGAAGTATCGACTGTTGACTCCGGATATATATTGTTTGACAGGTTGACCTACCATGTGTTCATACGTTCTGGTAATCAGTCAAGTACGAGCAACTAAAAATGTAAAATCAAGCTTACAATCGGTGCAATTTGAGGGAAAATTAACTGTTTTCTGATGATTTGTCGTGTATAGAAAACATAAAAACAGTTAATTTTCTCCCCTACACACCCCATATTGTACCGATTGTAAGCTTGGTTTTAAATCTTTTAGTTGCTTATGCATGACCGAGTACAATAATGTCTTACCCCAGTTTAGGTAAGCTGTCGAAAAGTTTTAAACTCTGGAGTCATAAGTCGGTAATATGAACATGGTCTATTTCATCAACAATTAAAACATGTCCATAATCACAAGTTGGAAGACCCACATTTAACTTGGACAAAGACACTTTTAAGACTTTTTTGCAACCAAAGGACATAACTGAGAAATTGAATGTACTTACGAAGCTTGTTTAAAGGTCCGAGCAACCGGATTAAGGTGGAATATTTTGTTCTGTTACTGAATTCGATATCGTTGGACACCCAACCAAATACAGGTCTTCTCCAGATAGAAGCTAGTTGTGCAACTTCTCTCATAGCTTTAAAAGTATACAAAAACGACTATCTTAATAAACTGTGCTTAACCTCTCATAACTAAGAAAAACAAATAAAAAAGTATGGCACAAAACTATGCTTATTCACTCATCGCTAACAAAATATACAATAGCATTATCTTAAAAAACTGTGCTAGATCTTTTATAGCTAACAAAGTATAGAATAGGATTATCTTACAGAACTGTGCTAGATCTGTCATAGCTATCACAGTATAACATAGAATTATCTTAAAAAACTGTGTTAAATCTCTTATAGCTTAAACGTGTAAAATAAAATTAGCTTTAAATACTGTGCTAAGTCTCTAATAGTTAAAAAAGTGTAAAAAAGGATTATATTTAAGTACTGTGGTAAATCTCTCATAGTTTGAAAGTGTAAAATAGAATTATCTAAAAGAGCTGTACTAAATCTCTTATATCTTAAAAATAATAAATTGGGATTATCTTAAAGAACTGTGCTAGATCGTCCATAGCTAACAAATTATAACATACAATTATCTTAAAGAACTGTGCTAAATCTCTCATAGCTCAAACGTGTAATGTATAATTATATTTAAGTGCTGTGCTCAATTTCTCATAGATTAAAAGCGTAACATATAATAATATTTAGGTACTGTGCTAAATCTTTCATAGCTTAAAAGTGTAAATAGAATTATCTAAAAGAGCTGTACTAAATCTTTTATAACTTGAAAATAATCAGTTGGGATTATCTTAAAGAACTGTGCTAGTCTTTCATAGCTAACAAAGTATAACATAAAATTATCTAAATTAAGGAACTGTGCTAAATCGCTCATAGCTTAAACGTGCAAACTATAATTATATTTAAGTACTGTGCTAAATTTCTCATAGCTTAAAAGTGTAAAATAGAATGATCTTATAGAGCTCTGCTTAATCTCTTATATCTTTAAAAAGTATCAACTAGGATTATATTCAAGAACTGTGCTAGATCTTTAATAGCTATCAAAGTATGAAATAGTTTTATCTTAAAGAGCTGTGCTAAATTTCTAATATCTTAAAAAGTATAAAATACGATTATCTCAAAATAAAACTGTACTAAATCTCTAACAGATTAAAAGCATTAGATAGGTATATTTTACACGGAATATTGACCATTACTTAACATGTGCCCGAAAGCTTAACCATTACTTTACACGTACAAGGAAACTTGACCATCATGACTTTACACACTTTACCATCACTTAACACGTACATGGCAACTAGGCCATTATTTTACACGTATACGGAAACTTGACCGTTACTTTACACGTACATGGACACTTGACCATTACTTTACACGTACACGGAAACTTGACTATTATTTTATACATACGCAGAAACTTGAAAAACTTACTTACAGACATGACCTTCACTTTACACGTACACGACAACTAGACCATTATCTAACACGTGTACGGAAACTTGACCATTACTTTACACGTACACGGCAACTTGACTATTACTTTATACGTACATGGAAACTTGACCACTACCATGCTCTCCCTATTTGTTCTTTTAAAAGTTTACAGAGCTTCTAAATTAATAATGCTAGTTACATTTATTCATTCACGTTGAAAGGCTGTCAAGTAGAGATTTAAATACTGTGCTTAATCTCTTATAGTAAAAAAAAGTGTAAAATAGAATTATCTTTAAGTACTGTGCTAAATCTCTCATAGTTTGAAAGTGTGAAATATAATTATCTAAAAGAGCTGTACTAAATTTCTTATAAAATTTCCAATAAAATCACATACGTACGTATCTATTCATTTATATTTTCGTGAAGAAAATATTTTAGAAAGAAGGACAAGAAGTAAGCAGTATCATTTAACTTTACTTTCCGCTATATAGATGATGCTCTCTCACTAAATAATTCAAAATGTGGTGACTATGTTGAACGCATCTATCCCATCGAGCTGGAGATACAGGATACAACAGATACAGTTAAGTCTGCCTCATATCTTGACTTACATCTAGGAATTGACAATAAAGGTCGGTTGAAAACAAAACTTTACGACAAAAGATATGATTTTAGCTTTCCAATTGTGAACTTTCCATTTCTATGAAGCAAAATTCCAGCAGCACCTGCATACGGAGTATATAGCTCCAAATCGATACGATATTCCTGGGCCTGCATTTCCTATCATGATTTCCTTGATAGAAGGTTGCTGCTCACAAGGAAGCTATTAAAACCAAGAATGCCAAATGGGGAAGTTGAAATCATCCCTTCGTAAATTTTACGAACGCCATCACGGGTTGGTTGACCGTTATGAAAAATCCGTTTCACAGATGATAGCGGATATGTTCCAAATGTCGAAACTATAATCCCGTCCCCTTTTCTCCGAACTTGACCTACAAATTAAGACTTATTACCTGTTTGTTCTAACATGAGCAACACGACAGGTGCCACATGTGGAGCAGGATCTACTTACCCTTCCGGAGCACCTGAGATCACCACCAGTTTTTGGTGGCGTTCGTGTTGCTCAGTCTTTAGTTTTCTATCTTGTGTTTTGTGTACTATTGTTTGTCTGTTTGTCTTTTTCTCTTTTAGCCATGGCTTTCATGGCGTTGTCAGTTTGTTTTCGACTATGAGTTTGAATGTCCCTTTGGTATCTTTCGCTTCTCTTTCAGAAGAATACTTGTCTCTTGATAAAACTTGGAAATTGAGATAAGAACTATAGCTTCCATATAATTTCTAAATAAAAGTATTTTCCACGTATTATAGAATTGATAGATAAAAAAAAAATCATATATAGGTTTCTTTTAAAAGGTGTGCTAGTTCACAAAGTAGCAGTCCGCTGGAATAGACGTCACCTTACCGGGACACATTATTTTGACTCCGGACCGACCAATGTTTGCTCTTACTCCTAAAAATCGCGTGCTGAGCAGAAAATCAGTCAATGTTTTGTTTCAACAAGCCGAGGATCAAACCAAAGGCCTCCCTCACTCTAGGGGAGCAAGCTACCAAAGACCATCCAGGCGGTTATGAATATTGAAAATACACACATATATACATTTATATCAAAACATTTCAAATAAGAATATGTGGCCATAAGACATAGTTTCCCCTTACATTATCACATTTCTACTTTTAGTGAACCACTTTATCCGGATCAAATGTTAACTTGTTTTGATTTTCTAAAAGTTTTAATTTTGGAATAGGACTGACGAACAGACCAGGAAATATAAGGTCCGCTTGTTGTCATAAGTCGATCATAAAATTAAAAGGATCCTATTGTACAAAACTCCCATCAAATATCCCATACATGTCCGTTTTAAGACTATTTGTATAAGTAAACGTTAGACAATTTCCAAGCAATGATGTTAAATTACACATAAAGACTTTTCCGAGAACCTATGCCTCGTTATAACTAAAGACAAGCGTTGAAAAAAATAACTGAGTTTGTAAAGTGTAATCATCTTTTTTTTTCCTTTGAAGATGCATCCTTATACATTCTATTTGACAATTAGATGACAAAAGTACTATCAGCTAGATGCATCAGTGATCTGAATTTCTGCCTCTGACAAAAGTATCTTAAAATAAATTAAAGAAATATACTTTAAAAAGAGTGAGGTAAGTCGTGTTCACCTTTTACGTCCCGGCGTGTTTGAAACTCCTGTTCTAACCTTATTACTTATAAATCATCTCGCTTAAGGATGTATTCTTCTGACGTTACCGTCTCGTTGAAATCTCGTTCTGGAATTATTTCCAAAACATGTGATACAAGTGGAAAATATCAATGAATTTAAAAAATGTTATAATCAAACTTAACTCTGTGAAAAAATTGTGTATTTACAATGAGTAGTTTTTGAGTAATAAATTTTTCAAATTTTATTACCAATCAAGTCAGTCTTTTTAGCCAAAATTTTGAGAATATGGGTGAGGGGTACAAGAAATGACTTTACCAGAAACATGACATCCCATATCACTTTTTTCTTTTCAAATTTCTTAGATATGTATGTTTTCAATCATTTGCAACAAAGAAGCTGAAATAATATGCATTTTGTTCTTAAAACAGAGAAAAATCACAAATTTACAAAATTGACAGCATGGTTAATTTGACACAAAAAAGAATCAAAATATGATAAAACTTTCTTATATTAACACCTACCTATAGTTTTTTTAAATTAAATTTATTCAGATTGGTCCACTTCATCTTTATTGAAAGTATGAAAAAAAAGTTTAATTGTGGAACTGTGATTTTTTTCACGATAATAGCCCAAAAATAGGTAAAAATTGATGAAAAATGGGAAAATCATCAAAATTGGGTACTCTCAAAGGGCCGTAGCAAAAAAGGAAGTGCACCACCATATGATTTTTTCTTCACCAATTATTTTGTTTACTGTCATATAAACCCAAAAATCAGGTTAGGAAAAAAAGTTTAATTTTAGAAATTTTTGGCTCCTCAGAGGTGTACATCCTTAACTTCATTACTTTTATTTGATCATCTTAATTTTGATTAAGTAGTTTTAAGAATTCACCATTTGAGAACTAAATATATGGGATAGGTAAAATGACCAAGTAATGATCGGTGCATTTGATTACCGTTAACTCGATATTTATTCCCTTGAAAGGTTGTTGTCAATACAATCATTAAATCGGTAAATTGTTAAAAAGCATCTATTCCAACAAATTATGTGTATTCAACGAGCAAAAATAATCATGCAGTATATACTCATTACGTCATGCTTCAATGTACTACTAGTAGGCCGAGATACGTTCATATACCTCTGCTGCTGGGTATCACCAACCCAGTAGACAGGACTTCGGTATTGGCATGAAAACACAAACATTTTTTTGATTGAAATTGTTTAAAAATGTTAGAAATCATTTAAAATTTAAGAATATATCTCCCGCATGAAAAGCTCTCATTCCTTGTCCGGTTTTGGCTATACTGTAGGTCCTTTAAGTTGGTCAGCTTTTCAACGTTTGTATTACGTTTTGAATTTTCAAATATTTTATCACTGAAGATACATTAATTGTCGAAATGCGC